CCTGCATCTCGTTGCCGCAAAGTCGGTGGCTTCCAAAGTCCCAGTTTCCTCCACCTGTGGGAGTACCGGAGGTCAAGAGCTTGTCTGCTCAGTCTGGAAGCTAGGCTCCGCCTCCCCCCCCTTCACAGCCCAATGTTTTTATCTGTTAGAATGGCAGCTAGGATGTTAAAACTATGAAAAAGTATCTGTAAAATATTAATTGTAAAATGTGGATGCAAATGGATAGGAAATATGGCTGTAAATGGACATAATACACGATTAATAATGGGTGCCAAAAATAACAAAAATGTATGTGTAAAGACCAAAGGAAGTGTTTTTACCCAGTTAGTGAATTAGGTTATTTCAAATATAAAAGATGCTTGCTTTTATGGTTTTAGTTGATGATTTATATAATTTCTCTTGAAGTGAAGACAACCTAACAATCACAAACCTTTATTTGGCTAAAAACCTGCCAACAAAATCTGTATTACCAATATGTGCTAATTAACAGAGAATTTCAACAGTTCACAAGAACACTACAGCTATATTTTGCGAAGTTGCGAAGTGACATTTACCTATGTTAAACTCTAAATAAAGAGTTTAAAAAAATTAAATTTTAAAAAAAGCATAATGTTGCCTTTTTGGTCCTTGGGTTGATCAGTAACTAATAATCTCACTCTTTATTGAAGTCCAGATTCCACAAATGACATGTGCCAAGCAAGATTCCTTTAGGTTTCATTAACTAGGGCATTATGAAATGTCATACACACGCTTGGATTTGATATACACAATTTTTAACTGGTTTTGACTTTTTCAGGGAAACAGGATGATATTGTAAATCTTTACAACTCACCAGTTTAAATATGCTCCCGATCTGTGTGAATTTCAGTGAATGGTGTCATTATTCCTCCAGCACTTGCACACGTCATGTACATACACTGCTGTGAGGTACATGTAGTATCCGATATGACACTAAAATATGGTGTAATTTCTCAGTGATGCTGATACATTCTGGTATTTTCACCAGCAGCCACCATTCAGGCCTTTTACTCAGATTAATTCTTCTCCCATTGCACACTCATACCAAATGAGAGAGAAGCATACGTGGCTGTTTTATGTTTATATGTGATCTCCGAGTCTACAGCTTTATTTATTTAATTATTCATTAATTTCTGTGGTATTTTAAGTGTTTCAGGACACATTTTGGTCGTCTTTCAAACAATGCGGGTCGGGATTTACAAGTTTGTCCTTGTAAACATACTAACCAATCACTATTGAAGGGGTTTTAAATGAACAAGGATTGTGAGCCGGTCAGTTATTTTCCTTTATATCTCCTCAGGATAAAACATGTCGATCATTTACATGTGATGGATTAGACTGCTACAAATCGAATACAGGTGCTGCTGTTAAAAAATGTCAAGTGGGAATAAACCATTGTGAGGTAAAGAACTCTATACATTGCACATAGAAGTGTTGGTGTAACTACAAATAGAATCCCATACTGATGTGGGCACAGTCATATAACATGTAAGAGAGGACAAGAAATGCATATATTGCCTCATAACTATTATAATTATCATCATTTATTTACTGACTACATATTCTGAAACTCTACACAATATTAAAACTGGGAAATAAAACAGAAGGTTATAGACAAAGTATACTTTAAAATGTTCTATTCCACCTATGGAATACTAATATGTAACACATTATATTATATTTGTTTTTTGTTTTATACAGTTTTCTGGTGTATTCAATACTTTTTATAGAGCCTCCTTGTTTGTTTTTAAATATGGAGACTTTAACTATTTCCCAGTCTTCCACATTGGCTTTGGGTTCTATACTTTTCTCAGTTTACACATATGGAATATCCTAAATACAAAATGAATGCAACAACAGTCAGTTTCATGTGTTTTTTTTAATTGAGACTTTAATTTAATTTTAAAGAAAAAAACAACAACAATTTGAATTCCCCCCACCTCTGCTATAAACCTGAAATAGTTGACTATTATTTCATTATGAAGTTGTAATCTACATGTAATTTAGAAGCCTTCTTATCTGTCTTTGGTTTATATTTGTTGCAGCTCCAAAAAAAAGTTTCTGGATCGGCTGTCTCATATGAAGGAGGCTGCAGTAACACCTGTGCTACAAGTACAAAATCTTGTGCCACTATTACCAATGCTAACTGCTTCCAGGAGTGTTGCAACGCTACAAATACAGGATGCTGCATGAAACTGGATGGGCAGGTCCATTTTAACGAGGCCTCTAGAGTAAATCTGAACTCCGTCCTGAAGATATTCTCATATGCATTCATAGTCATTTTTTCCTCTCGTTTCTTCACCTCTGTGCGGGCTTAGAAATGAATTTTTAATGTAACTCTAGGATAGTACGTCTCGAACATGAACACACTAAGCATACAAATCCGCTTTGTTCTTTCACTTTGATTTCATTCCAAAAGATATTAAATGACTGCCTTAGGAGTGTAGAAAGTGACACTGTCCTAAACTAGAGGGATATGGTCAAACTGTACATTATCTTAAATTGACCACAAATAATGGAAATCTGTAAGTATAGGGAATATTTTACAAGCATCACTGTCTAGGGAAATTCTACAACTGTAATCTCTTCAATAATGTGAATTTTATTGTTTCACAAATTCACATTCCATATCTGATTAATATAAACTTCCAATATATAAATCATCAGTACATAAAGCATATACAAACCTTTACCAACCAAAAATACTACAAAGCAATATAGTATAGGTGCAGCCAATAAACATCATTTTCATCTTAATTATATACCGCTAACATCTCAAATTAAAATACCATATATATATATATATAAAATACACAAATATATTCATATATCTTACTGTGATGAAATACAGTGTCACTGATAAATATATCCCAAAAGGCATTTCCTTTTTTTTCTTTTTCATTTTTTAATTGTAAAAACATTTATTGGAAGACTTGTACGTGAATAATAATGTGCTGGTTGCTGGGGCAAGCCAGCATTTTATATAACCTTGTTGGTCAAATTTGTACGGGGTTCATTCACTAAATAGAAAATTGTAATAGATTGAAAACAAATCTCAAAATATGGGCTAAATAGCTCATTTGGAAACAGAATCCTAATAAGCTTTAGTCTCAGTTTGGATATTTTAATGTACAATTTGCAATTCAGTGTTTAGGTTTACTACAGTTCAAGTGTTTAGTGAATAAACCCTTATGCGTCTTAGCACATAAAGAGTAATAATTTCATCAAGAAAATACAATATTGTGTGTTCTGCTTTCTGTGTCAGTACTTTTGCACACTGTAGAAAAAAAGGCTGAAATAATATTTACTGACTTTACTATGTATAGGCAACTTTAGTGCATCGTATGCAAGGATGTACAGAAAGAAAAGATATATATTAAAAATAGTGAAAATAAAGAAATTTAAATGAGAAAATTTGTTGCAAAAATATTCCTAGCCCACTGATCAATATGTTATATATACACTCTTTTGATATAAAATATATTTATATATTTGTAAAATTATATTATTAGACACAGCATATATATGTAGAGCCGCATATCTACTTATATTTCTTAAAACATAATATGTAATATATATGATGATATATGGTTAGTGTGTGTGTACATATATATATTTATATATATATATATGTATATACACACACCAGGTGGCCAAAATTAAGATTAGGGTATGAGGCGTCAATAGCTTTTTTAATAATGAACCAATAATGAACCAATTTCAATTACATACAAGGAATGCTTAATGTATGGAAATTTGTTTGACTAGTTACGGAAAATGACATCTTTTAAATGAGCTACATATGCTGCCTCAAAAGTCAGGCTCTTTCAATTGCATTGCTCATAACATTGGTTAATGTTTGAGACTGTAGCACTCAAATTTTTGCCCGATAACTTCCTGCAAGGTCACACCGCTCCAGACGGTGCATTTGGTAGGGTGCAATTGACAATGATGAATTGTATTTGGATTTAGTGTATCCCAGAAACTACAGTTTTGCTTATTGAAACAACCATTTAAATGAAAATGAGCTTTGTCAGACATGATGAGTTGAAACATTTTTTCTTCTCTGGCTAATTCTTGTTTCTTGTGAAATTACCCATGATGAATCTCCCAAGACTCATTTATAATATGTACCTGCAACAAAAAATATTTAACTATTAACAAGTTATTTATCTGTCAAATCCTACTCTGAATTTTGGCCCACCCTGTATATACACAACAAAGAAGGAATAGCACTTATAGGATTTGCTGTATAAAAGGAACAACATAGTGTCAAGAATACAAACGTGTATTCCTGACACTATAGGTCCAAATAGCTGTTTAGTCCCCCAGCCCCCTCTCGGCTCTGCTTAAATAGGTGATGATTTGCTGGTCATGGCTGTCCCAATCCATGCTCCGCCCCCTTGGCTGAGATCATCAAACTGGATGATCTCAGCCAATCCAATGCTTTCTCCTAGGTAAGCATTGGAAGGCTATTGCGCATGCCAGCAAAATACCGCTCTGCGCCAGTCAACATCTCCTCATAGAAATGCATTGACTCAATTTATCTCTATGTGGAGCATTCAGTGTCTCCATGCAAAGCGTGGAAGCAACTCTAGTGGTCGTCTGACTGACTGCCATTGGAGATGTCCCAAGACAGTAATGTAAAAATCGCCTTTTATATGAAAAGGCAGTGTTTACATTAAAAAGGGACAGGCTATAGACATCAGAACAAATACATTAAACTTTAGTTGTTCTGGCGACTATAGTTAACAGTTTTATTTAATTAAAAGCAGGTTATAGCATAAATTTCAATGTTTCAGTCCCACACATGATATTTTGATCAGAATATAATATTATATATATATATATATATATATTAAAAGTAATTATTTAAAATAATTAGTTAAAAGTAATAAATCCTTAGAAATTAAATGTATTGCTACTCTGATTTTCCATCAAATAAAATTATGCTGTATATTTGTGATTGAGTTTTTTTTATTATTATTTTTATCTATATCCTATATATTGTTCTAATTATTATGAGTTGTAGTTCATGCTAACATGTTGGGGTTTTAAAAAAATGTAATCGAATCTGTACACTTCTGTTTGCTCTCTCTCTGGAATCATTCTTCTTAGCAATATATTCAAACACAAAATACAGATAGACTTTGGATTATGTCAAGCAACCGTCCTTACTAAAATGTTTTTTGCATGTCAGTTCCTCCCAAACTCTTTCTCCTGAGCCAGTTACTTTCCTCATTCACTTAGCCATTTTCTGTATGTACTCCTATTCTCCTTCAGTTTTAAATCATATTAATTCCTTTCTCTTCTGCTATACTTTTCTATTATTTTCTGTCACTGATTCTTCAGTCATTTCCTGTTTCCCCTTCCAGCCTATCTACCTTGTTTTACCCATTATTCTTCAAATCTCCCACAGGGTTATTATAGGGACACTATAATTACCAGAACCACTACAACTTAATGCAGTAAGCTGTAGAAAAGGCAGTGTTTACAATGCTGGCTAGTTACACCTCTAATGGAGTCATTCAGACAGCCACTAGAGGTGCTTCCTAATCCAGTGTTGTAGACTTTCATTACTGTGGACCCTAGATCATTGCACAGACATTAAACCAGTTTCTAAAGGAAAAAATAAGTTGTCCAGTGGCAGAACTACCATGGTCTGAACAGTCCTTGTGTTCTGCCTGTCAAGGAAGGGTTCAAACTGGTTGGACCCTGCCTCTTTGAAAAATGTTACTGTATATGAGTCCATGGGTGTTGTGTATGATGATGCGTATGCATATGAACGTGTATATGTAGATGAAAAATAAAATGTATGTAAATTACTGAATATGTCTATATTAATGTAACTATGTGTGTTATTTCGCTGACAAAACGGGGTTGCGGTGGTATACAGGGAGACAAAAATATTTATTTACAGTTCTGGGGGTATGCCAAAAAACATTTATGCCCCAGATGCCATATAGCCTAGGTAAGTCTCAGGGCCATCTGGGATTAGCCTTCCCTTACCTGGAAAGCTAAGCAGAAAGGAAGTTTAATAATAAACACGGTCATTCTACCACACAAAATCACACTCAGCCAACCACTCACACAATCACACTCAGCTGGTCACCAATCACACCCTACCAACACAACACATTCAGCCAACCACCACAATATCAAACTCAGTCAACCCCACACACAAGGTTTGTAGAAGGGGAGCTTTATTGATTCTTGCACCGGAGCCCTGCTGTTTCGAGTTACACTCCTGGAATTGTCCATCCACAGATGAACAGCTTTACAACCTAGGATTCCACCTTACGAATGTGCATACTTTATCTCCAAAACAGAAAATACGATTGTGAAGTACTATATACAGCATCATATTCTTGGGGCTACATTTTAAAACCCATGTCCCCTGGTAGGTATGCAGAAAGGAAATAGCAGCCTTGCTACACAGACAAGCTTAGAATTATTGTCTGTATTTTTGACCACTCATGCAAAATTGCAGTAATTTGTGACTGGTTGAATTTGGCAGATGTGTTTCTTTTTAGCTTCAAATACATAGCTATGTAATTACAGAATTATTTATAAAGACTCTTTACTGTAAATATAGGGACACTGGAAAGCTCTCAGTGGTCAGTTTCGAGAACCACCCAATTCTGAGTGGGCATCCCAGTTAAAGGATAGCCTTTAATTAAAGAATAATTAAATATTTTTTTGCATGAAAATAAATGTGTCAACACCTGCAGTAGATACACATAAATTGTGCATTGCATGCTAAATTGATGTACAATGAAATGTTAAATATATTCAGTGGGTAGAATGCATAAGGGGTGGCGGAAGAGGGGTTAAACCTATGAATAACTCAGATTTTAGAAATAAAAGTAATTATAACAAACTGGTGGTAAAATATGTGACTTTAACTGATACACACACAGTATATACACAAGTTAACACAGTAATAATAAATTGTACGACCACACTGAGCCCATCATCATGAGGGTGTGAGAGCAATACATTAATATTGAGATATGAAAAAATACATAGAGTTTTTGTCTATTTTCAAGGGTCTGATCATACTATATGCAGATGTACTGGTTAGGACTCAATAAATAACATAAATCATGTAGAAACAGAAATATCACACAGGAAAATGCAACAGATTTTAAAAACCCATATTGCAATAATTTTATTTATGAAGCCAAAATTTGCAGAGTGATCATAATACACCAATCTAAATACACCAAACACAGTCATCAAAAGTTCACACAAATTCATGGCTACATAATGCATACACAGTGAAGTTTCCCACAGGTCTCTCTGTTTAATCCACCTTGTAGCACATCGTCCATCTCCTTTTACTATTTCTCCTTCTATGTTCTCTGTTTTCCTCTTTCCCTTTTTCCATCTTTTTTTCCTTCTTATAATGTTAAATTGAACCTTCAAGTTTGCAAAAATGGCATGCTTCTGGAGCGTATTTCATTGTTGTTGGTTTTTTTTTAATGCGAGGCACTTGTTAGAAAATTACAAAAGTAACCTCAAACCAATAATATGATATGATATGCCCATTAAAGCACACTAGTGTTGCTCATAACATCTTATATGCTCATGCTGGCTTGTTACTATCATTCCGATGTTAACATACAGTATCCCGCCTCACTTCCAATTGCCAACGTAATTCCCACTGATGTCACTGATCATTTTAAAAACCTCTCCATAGAGGTCCATTCATACTTATGTAATTAAATGTATTGTTACTATAATTAACATAGACATGACATTATTTTTAGCAGTGTAAAAAGGGTCTCTGGTTACGCAAAACCCAGCCCCCAATGGACATATGGTTACAGACTTCCTTCTTGCCATAACAATTCATACCCACAATGGTGACACTCTCAGCCAATCACAGACATCCACTGCTGCTCAAGCTAATGCTTCCTCATTAGTCAAGCACACTTGAGGGTAAGGCCAACCATCAGAGTGGAGGGGGGAGCATGACTGCTGCCCTGAGGAGTTGCCATAGCAATCAAATGGATACAGTTGGCTTTACTGAAGAGGGTAATTCTCGGAAACTTACCAGACTGCTGGTGAACATGGCTGAGGGAGCCTGGCAGTGTCTTTTCCCACCCTCCCCCAATTGTTCTTTTCTGGAATTGATGTTTTGTGTTGTGTGGAGTGTTTCTTTGTTTTTGTTTTTGTCACAGCTGCTGGTTTCCTGCGCCATCACGTTTGGTAAATGAATAATGTCCGGACGAGCTTGAGAAGGACGCAGTCTGAAATTGGTTGATGACAAAGGACAGGCTGAAAAGGCTTCAATGGTTGAATTCTGATGTAAGGACCACACCATTGGACTTCAGACACTATAACTACTTCAGTGAGATGTAGCGGTTATAGTACCTACTTAAACCTAAACTACTGGTGGCGTCACTTTAAAAGACTGTTTCAGTAATTCACATAGTGTCCTTTTTTCTTTTTGACAATCTGTTCGTTTATTGAAGTTAATCATGGGAAAAGTTGAGTGTAGCTAGCAATGTCAGAACTCCATTTTGTAACACAATGAAGCGATAAGGCTTGAACAACCAAAGTATAGATAATAGAGATAACATAGTGTAGCTGCTGAGGCACAGAAGTGAAAGATAGAGAGGTTAAGCCAACAATGACTCTAAGCGAACAATTCAAACACATAACAAGCATAGCATTCTGGGCATATAAATAAGGGCCGGAACAATAAAACAAGTTTCCTGCCAGGGTCCAGAGGCAGCGCAAAATGCCATCCAACACTCATTGTGTCAAAGTCAGTCCCCTTTGATAATCCTTACTTTTTTCTATGTACTGGTTTCTTCTGTTCAGCATGGTTGCCAGGCCCCATCCCACACAGTGTGTTTTGTATATTGTAAGGATTCATTTTGAGATGAATAGACAAGAGTAATGTGAATATAACTGTATTATTCAAGAAACGAACATGATCTCAGATTAAAGATGATAAACCAATAAACCAGACTTACATAATGGGAAAACCATTGGAAGAACTGGAAAAAAGAAGTCATGAAACACATTCATGTATGCAATATTAAGGTAATATTTACCTGCATGGTATGAGTAACATCATGTCATGACAAATCAGTTTGTCTACTTTGTATGAAAAGAAAAAAAATCAAAATTCAGAAGAGCAATAAAAGCTACCTACTCGCATGTTACAAAAGCTATTGATGTTTGTGGCCACACAATACGTGTGAAGTAGGCAGCATTCCGCTCGCCAGGGTACAGAACCATCCAGTTACACCTGCACCTCCATCACGGAAGGGTTGGTACTCATATATGTTTCCAGTTTGCTTACACATTGCTGCACTAAGTGATAGGATCTATCATGAGCATCCCCAGGAATTTTTCCAGGGGGGGCATAATTGTAATGACATCCATGCTTGGCCCCTTTTTGACAGTGTCACAGAAGGGAGGAGCATAGTCATTATCACACAAACCCAGGGTGAAAAGCATTTTCACTACTATGGTGTCAAGAATACATGTTTATTTTCCTGACACTATAGTGTTCCTTTAATCAAATTAAAGACATATTCTGGTCATCATAACAACTTCATCTAAATGAAAATGCTATGATGCAAGGAGGCCCCTGGGCGCTCTCCTTCCTTTAAGGGGTGAAACCGCTCTCAAATGGTTTAACCCCAAAGGCTACCTCCAGCTCCAGGTCACTCAGTGGTATTCGGCTTCTGAAACGGAATGTCAGGAAGTGCAGATTGACGTCAGGCATGGGTGCCGCTGATTGGCTAGAGTGGTCAGCTGACACTCTAAGCCAATCGCTAGAATTTTATGAATGGGGAGCTACTGATTGGCTTAGAGTGCCAGCTGACCGCTCTAGCCAATCAGCGGCACTCCTACCCAGCAGCCCTCTGTGTTTCGTGACACTCAGTAAATAAAAGTGAACACATTAACACTGATATTTTTTTTTACCTGGGGAGATGAGAAGGTCCAAAGTTTCCTGCCAGATCCAGGTACCAAAGCCTTATGATGTGGTGTCCAGAATAAAGTGGAGGGATCACTTCACTTGTCCTTCCTACTCCAATCTAATTTTCTTTTCCTTCATTTGGCACAGTCTTCTTTTTCTTCTGAAATGGTCTTCCCTCCCCCTTGACTCCTTCTGCTCCTTTACCTTTCTGCTACTTTCTGCTTATTTTGCACCCTTTTGCTCCTCTCTCTTTCTGATCCATTTCTGCTCCTTGCAGACCCTTCCTTCTCCTTGCAGGCCCTTCCTGCTCCTTGCTATCCCTTCCTGCTCCTTGTTGCACCCTCCTGCTTCTTGCAAACCCTTCCTGCTCCTTGCTGCCCCTTCCTGCTCATTTCTGTTCCTTTTCCTACTTTACCTTTGTTCTCCTTCTGCCCCTTCCAGACCATTGCTGACCCTTTCTGTTCCTTGACTTCCCTTCCTGCTCACTTTTGTTCCTTCTCCTTTCTGCTCCTTGATGTTCCTTCCTGCTCATTTCTGTTCCTTCTCATTTCTGCTCCTACTTTACCTTTGTATCTTTGTTCCTTCTCCGTTCTGCTCCTTCTTATTCTTTCTGCTCCTTGCTGCCCCTTTCTGCTCCTTCTCCTACTTTACCTTTGTACATTTGTTCCTTCTCCTTTCTGCTCCTTCTGATTCTTTCTGCTCCTTTACCTTTGTTATCCTCCTGTCCCTTCCTGCTCCTTGCTGCCCCTTTCCGCTCCTTCTCCTGCTTTACCATTGTGCTCCTTCTGATTCTTTCTGCTCCTTTACCATTGTGCTCCTATGTCCCTTCCTGCTGCTACTTTCTGCTCCTTGCAGATGCTTTCTGCTCCTTCTCCTACTTTACCTTCCTGCTCCTTCTTCCCCTTCCAGCTCATTGCTGTCCCTTTCTGCTCCTTCTCCTACTTTACCTTTGTGCTCCTTCTGATTATGTCTGCTCGTTTACATTTGTGCTCTTTCTGTCCCTTGCTGACTCTTTTTGCTCCTTGCAGACTGTTACTGCTTATTTCTGCTGCTTCCAGATCATTGCTGACCCTCACTGCTCCTTGATGTCCCTTCCTGCTCAATTCTGTTCCTTCTCCTTTCTACTCCTTCTCCTACTTTACCTTTGTGCTCCTGATTCTTTCTGCTCCTTCACCTTTTTGACTCCCTGCTCCTTGCTGCCCTTTCTGCTCCTTTAAGACCCTTTCTGTTCCTTCTCCTACTTTACCTTTGTGCTCCTTCTGATTCTTTCTGCTCCTTTACTGTTGCGCTCCTTGCTGCCCCTTCCAGTTCATTTCTGTTCTTTCTCCTTTCTGCTCCTTCTCTTACTTTACCTTCCTGTTCATTGCTGTTCTTTTTTGCGCCTTCTCCTGCTTTACCTTTGTGCTCCTTCTGATTCTTTCTGTTCCTTTACCTTTGTGCTCCTACTGTCCCTTCCTGCCCCTTTCTTCTCCTTGCAAACCTTTCCTGTTTCTTGTGGCCCCTGCCTGCTTCTTGTTGCTCCTTCCTGCATCTTTCTGCACTTTCCAGCTTCTTGCAGCCCCTTCCAGCTCATGACTGACCATTTTTGCTCCATGTAGACCCTTTCTGTTCCTTCTCCTACTTTACCTTTGTGTTCCTTCTGATTTTTTTCTGCCCCTTGCTGCCCCTTCTTTCTCCTTGCTGCCACTTCCTGCTCCTTGCAGACCCTTCCTGCTCATTGC